TAAGCGAAAAACTCAATATTTTCAAGAAAAGCAAAGCTGGTAAAAGTATTTTCGGAGCGCCCAAGGTGTGTACAGAAAGAAGGTATGAAAAAGACTGGTTCGTTCCGAATGCGAATATGCACCCATCCTACTTTTACTGCTGATCAAGCGATAAACAGTCAGCTGCGGTCCTGGTTCACAAAAAAAAACTTGCTACTGCCGATACCTAGCTAGCCTGAATCTATGGCCACTTTTGAGGTGCTTCTGTCAGAAAAAATGCTTTTCATGCTGCTTCAAACAGCTAAAAGACTGCCTTTCAAGATTTTGAAGGGACCCACAAATGTAGCCCTTCCCCTTAGCTTTCCTGGATTTCCTGGTATATTTTTGGTTTTTTCACATCACTTTGCTAGAGTGCCCCCAACGTTTCAATTGGCTGTTGTTTGCCCAGACTGCGGCAACAATTTCGGTATGTGCTTTCCAGGAAAAACAACGCGAAATCGAAGTGCGATTAGGCACGTCCATTGTCTACCCCGACCTGAGTGCCATTATAGGTACTTAGTGTTCACGAAAACCATCTAGGATGTTCAGTGAAAACTCTTAAATGGCACATAAACTTATTGTTAGCAGCACTTTGCCATTTGACGTCATCTGTTGAGTTATTTGGATACTGATGCTTAATTGGACTCCAGCTGGAGGGAGCGCTCCAATACCGTCGCTTTGCTGCCAACCGCACTGCAGAGAACGTTTTTCTTTCCACAATTAGAAAGAGGAAAGCAAATGGATAGGAAACTTCGAAAGACCCATGGTTCGTTTTGCCCTTTCCCTAAAAAAACCATCACTATATAGTCAACCCTTGAGCTCCTCTATCGTGTTGATGACATCTCGTAAATCAAACACGCCCAAGAGAATAAGCCGCTCAGACCATAATCCTGTCAAGCTTACGTGGGTCCTTCATGAAAGGATTACGCATTAGGAGTGGCCAGTTTCTCTTTGGACGCGCCATGTACAGTTAATGGAATAAACCCCACCGCGGTGCTTCCACCAGTAGTTATTTTCTTCCTAAAGATACTGACCGATCATTATTGGTAGAGCGACTCTGACACCACCCCAACAAATGGGCTATACGTGACTTATGTTCAGAAACCTTGAGCATTTTGCCAATATAGGGGCTTGCTAGGAAAGCAAAGTCTGCGTTTTCGCTCCCTCAAGTGACTTTAGTGGTAAGGACTGAAGAGAGATTCGGAAGGAGGGAACATAAGGCTGAAGGTTTGATTGCCCTTGGGCCAATTTTACCCTACTCACAACAATTCGACAAAACCTGACGATTTTTCCTAACAAGTGTGGGAGCCAGTCAAAATATCCGGGCTGCGGCGACAATAGCGTCGCGAGTGACCTGAGAACTTAACAGATTTGACGCGAAAAAGCTGCAGCAACTGCAGCGAGCTGGCCTTAAAGGCAAAACCGCGATCATTCGCTATCACAGATAGTGGATTAGGGGTCGCATATAGAAAAGTGCTGAGTAACTCGATAGTGAAGAAAAAACAGAAAAAAAACATGCCACCTGCCCTAGATAGAACCCCATTTTGATCCCAGTTTGTACGTGCCCAATTAACTCCATCTCCAACACTACGCCCTCATCCGCACAGCTGATTCCCTGATAGCTGACAAGAACTCAACGACCGTAAAAGTGACGATTTTCATGTTTTTCGTCAGGCAGCTTCGTTCTTCACAGAAAGGCCTTAAGGGCGGAGTCTAGAGGCGGAGTCACTGGAAGAAAGGAAGCGTCGTTGAACCCATATTGATCCATAGCGTCCCTCCCTTACAATTTTTTGCCGCGGACCACACTACCCCTCCCAAGGCCATACTTTCAACTTCAATAATCGCCGAGCGAGCCTTTAAACTGAGAACTGAGCACAGTGAATTACTACAGTCCTCATCATTACGTACTGTCGGGGCGGTTCAGTGCGGCTGCGTTTGGCGCGGTGCCAAACCCGCTCTCCACCAGTATTTAAAGCGAGCAAATGATATGACTGTATTAA